CGCGTCTGCTCGGCTTTTGTCAACAGGTTCCACGACATAGGTTCTCGAAACACATGGTGAATCAGCTCGCGTCCGTTCCGAAGTATCGCCGCTTCCTTAGTTATAAAGTTGTTATTTCCAATCATAAAACCTTGGAGATCCACAAATATTGGTATGCCCACCGAGGAACGCAGCATTGTCGTCGTCGACGTTGACAAAGCGTGCGACATCGTTGACCGTACGAACGCGACTGATGACTGCTCTAAACGATACGTCGCACGACGCTGGTCAGCGGGTTGTACTCGACGATACGATTGTGTATGATCAGACAGTACGCGGTTGTATCGGTGGGTACATTTTCTTTGCAGTTGAATTCAATGCGAACGTCAACGGTGGCGCTCTTGACCGTTTCGTTTTGGCGNGAACAGTCGATGACCACGAGCGGTCCGCAGTAGATGAACTTGTCCAACGTTAGAAGCGCCTCGTCCTCGTCACATCCGTAGTAGGATCGTCTGAATTTGATGTACATGTCGTACAAAATGGCGTATCGTTCCTTACNAAAATCTAGATTCAAATCGTTGTAGGGATAGAAATCTGAATTCAGGAACAACTTTACATTAGATAAGTTACAATGATCGAATCGCGAGCAATCTCGGCTGACAACATTCTTTCGGCCGGTTTGCAACGCAAAAATAATGTAACGCGGTTTTTTTAACTGTGTAGCCGCTTTTACAGCCCACGAGACGTCGTGCTCTGTAACAGCGGATACTCGTACAGATCCCACGAGCCAAAACCCATGGTCAAATATTGACCGCTTTCCAAAGTGCGCAACAGCTTCAATTTGTTCACATTGTTTAACACAACGTGTGGCATTCGCCACTGCACCTTGTGCAATTTCACCGTTGATCCGCTGTTAGCCGAAGCACAGACGCTTTTGTTGTCGTTGCGCGATCGTATCAGAATAAGTTCGTGTCTCGCGTTGATCACAACGCGTTTATAGTCCTCGCAGAATCCCAGCAATGTGCGGAGTGATATGCAAAAATTGAATTTACCAGCACCTTTATTGGCGGATAAGTTCCATCCGACATGTCGCAGAACGTTCCCCGTTTCAGTGGTTAGAGACACGTAGTTCTTTACCGTGCTCGTTACACCAGGGTTGCGATTTCGATCGATTTCCACACCATTGAGCTCGTATCTGATCTCATCGAACATAAACGCCACGCAATTGTTCGTCAACGCGGCGGCGACAACCGCGCCGCTTCCTTCCGCTGCTCCAGCGGTGGTTTGCAGACTGAACTTCCCCTCGACATGTAAGTAACTGTCGGACGGCAGGGTGTAAACATCCTGTTGTTGAATGGGTATGCGTATCTTGTCGCTGTGACCGAACGATGTATTGGCGTACGGATTGTATGTGTGAGTCTCGATCTTGACGATACGATTATCGAAAACTGGTTCACCACCGACGTTGAGTACGTCGTTCATCGTTGTTGTTGTTGTCACCGTTGTTTACTGCGGAACCCAACGAACGCAAAAACGTTGCGTTTCGCGCAGTCAACGCAGTGTGCCCAGTTTTGACTCTCTTACAGCACGCTGCAGCAAGTGGAGAGGATACGCACACAGGCGAACAGCCGTGTACGTGTGCGCTCGACGCTTCGGCTGTTTCGGGCGGTAGAAGAGAACAGAGATGTTTACTGTCTCTTTTTTTCGACATAGCTGTAGCGTACGCGGCTAGCGCAAGCGGCTAAGCCTCGCGCTAGCAGTTGTTTATCATGTTTCGCCGTTTGTTCTCGTTCTTGCGCTTATTTACTTACAGAAACATTTCGATTAAATAAAACAATAGTAACACCATAAAAGAATAATTAGAACAATGAAACATATGAGGAGCATAAATAAAAAGTGAAGAATATAAATCCACTCTTGGCTAATATGTACGTCTTTTTATTTTGTTACTATACTTTTTACTTTGCACTTGCAATCACATATAATATACATTTAAAAAAAAAGTATTCTTGCAATAAAAATTTTATTGTATTTAAGTTTTAGAAATGAACTACGTACACATTGTAGCTCAACGAAAACCGCGAGAAGGTGGTGGTTTCTTCCGTCAAAAACAATGTAAACCATTTGGTTAGGTTCTTTGTTCTATATTGTAATAACTGTTTATATATACGTTTTTTAGCATAAAAAATAATAATAATT